TTATAATTACAGGCAATATACGTGGATGGTTGGCCTACGTTCAGCAACTCGCTTACTATTACATCAACATAAAATTTCTTACAAACAACAATAATATTACTACTCGCCTTGTCGGCGGGGACTAGAACATATCTCTGGTTGAATTGTTCCAAATGAGCGCGAATCTTCATTATCTGCAGTTTTCTATGTATGGGTTTTTTTCCTCTTGAGAACATTTATCCTATTTATAATACATTCATTGATCTTGCTATGCCTCATCACATTGTACTAATGCATCACATGCCCTAGTCTTGTCACCTTGCTTTATATAATAATAATAATAAGAATTGTCATCCTTATCTTGTCACCGTGCATTTTATAATAATAATAATAATAACACTCAGGTGGCTGGCATAGCACTAGGGCCATAGACCACGCACCCAGAGCAATGGCTTGCTTTTTATACCGTCCCTATATTCCACACATTTTCAATTCGAAGAATTTTTATTTACTTGTCTCCTTTCCTTTTTTACGGCATGCACATGCATTTGGGCATAATTCCCATATAAAAAGTAACATGTATTTATTGCCTCAGACACTTTGTTGTAATCTACATGTTTATTTCACAACCAAAGTACATAAGTGTACAAAGTTTCATTGTTAGAGGACCCAGCATAAGCAAGTTATAGGGAAAAAAGCATTTAATTGTCTGAGGTTGTTTAGGAATGCGCACGCGCATATTTTGCCAGCCAATGCGTGAACACTCCGACTGAGGCCGCTCGTGCGCGCGCTCTACTGACTGCACGCGAAGCCAGACTTCCTACGAATCTGCGCGCGGAAGCTAGACTTCCTACGAATGACGGAAGTGACATTCCTAAGCGTGACTAATTGACATTCTTAAGCGTGACGACACGTACGTACGTACGTACGCATATCGCGAGAATACAACCCGGAGTAGTTGCCTCACGCTAACGCGCTCGGCAATTACAAACTTGTAATTTATGTTTGTATTCCAGCTTTGAGGAACAGTGCTGGGGTGTCAGTGATTAGTACAAAGTAGATGTGTTAAAGAGGCATTATCAGCAGTTGCACACTTGTAGTGTTGATACAGCCTTTGATGATAGTTGGAAAGAGGAAGTGGATAAGAAAGTGTGTGAGTTACCAACAGATTGTGTGGAAAATGTATTGGATAGAGAAATAGATTTGGAGGAGGTTGCATTGTGTGTTAGAAAGTTGAAGAATAACAACACTGGTGGTAGCTTGTGGGGGAGCTTCTAAAGTAGGGATGGTAGAGTTACTTAAACATTTGTTTACAGTAATTTGATGTGAGGAGTTTGTGCCACCACAGTGGAAGGAGGGCCTCATAGTTAACCTGTTTAAGAAGGGAGATAAGGAGGGAATTATATGGGCATCACTCTGCTGAGTGTGGTTGGGAAGGTCTTTTGTAAGGTTTTGAACAATAGGTAGGTGAATCATCTGGACGAGGGCAAAACATTGTACGAGGGTCAGGCTGGTTTTAGGGTTGGAAGGGGTTGTGTTGATAATATTCATACGCTGAATGAACTCGTGCTAAAGGAAGGGAAGGAGACATATGCACTCTTTCTAGATGTACAGAAGGCATACGATAGTGTGTGTAACGCCTGTGGTTTACGTTGTGGGAATTTGGGGTAAGAGGGAAGATGTGGAGGGTCATAAAGAAGATGTACGAGTATTCAAAGAGTGCTGTATTGTTGGATGGGAACGGTCAGAGGCATTTGATGTGGAACAGGGGGTAGCTCAGGGATGTAGCTTATCCCATTTGTTTCGTATTTATCAATGGGTTGTTGAGGGAGGTAGAGGAAGCTGAGATTGGGATCGATTTAAGTAGTGGTGGGAGACTTGGAGGACTTTTGTTTGCAGATGACTTCGTTGTGTTAGTGAGTCTAAGGATCAGTTACAGACGCTTATAGATGTGGTGCATGCCTACTGTCGAAAATGGAGGCTAAAGGCTAAGAGTGCAGTGATGGTGTTTGCTAGGGAGTCAGTGGATGGTGCTTGGAAATGGGGGAGTATGTTTTGCCTAGAGTATCTAAATACACATACTTGGGTGTTGATTTTACTAGTACTGGTGCATGGGATGTGCATATAAAGAATGTGTTAGACAATGGTAGAAAGGAAGGTTAATCAGTTGCATAGTGTAATTAGTAATAGGGATATTAATTTGAGTGCTCGCAGGTTGTTGTTGCTGGCGGTGGTTACGCCAACTTTAGAGTATGGGAGTGAGGTGTGGGAAGCCAATAAGACTCAGGCAGCTGCGTTAGAGTCGGTGATGCTGAGAGGAGCTAAGCATATTCTTGGGTGTTCGTCTAAGACATGTAATGAAGCCGTTAGGGGGGGATATGGGGCTTGATAGGTGGGCATAGGGATAAGAATAAGTTGAAGTGGTGGTATAAGTTAGCGGCATTGCCAGGCAATAGGTATCCGAAGAAACCTTTTAACCAGGAATGGAATTTTAAGCCACGGAGAGGCAGGCAGAGGAAGTGTTGGAGTAAGGTCATTGATGATCTCTTTTCGTCATTAGGTCAGAGTGGTTGCATATTCAAAATGGGGATTGTCCCTTGAAGGGCTTTCTGTCTATAGTAGGGGACAGTACAGTATTAATGAGAGGGAGATTAGAAAGTTTGAAGAGGGGCTAAATACCAAAGTAAAGTATAAGACATTTAACAAGGTGGTAGAGTTCAAAAATTACTTGCATGGGGATGATGGGTTTGAGCATTTCCAGTCGCTTGATAATTTCAGGAAAGCATCCTTTATATTGGGTAGTGAGCTGTGGGAGGATAACTTTGGTTCTTTGCTTGGCCTTGTTAAAGGTTATATTTTGGATGTTTGCCATGGGAGCTAAGAAAGGTTAGGTTATACGGCGATAATCCCCGCGTACAGACCCAGTCTCAGATTGCGTCTGGGGAGCTGCAGGGTGTCGCTGGTGGAAAGGGTGAGTTGAGATGTCTGGGAGGTGAGACAGACACCACATGTTCATATGGTGTATGTTCGTTTGTTAACGGTCCGCCCATTGCTCTGGGTGCGTGGTCTATGGCCCTAGTGCTATGGCAGCCACCTGAGTATTATTATTATTGTTGTTTGAAAGAAAAATGCTCTTGCACGACCTGTTATGGATTCCAATCTTTGTGCAAAGTTTCATCTCCATAATTATCTTAAGTGGTTTTTGAAACTGAACGACAACAAGAAGAATTTTGAAAACACATGCTCTTCATGCTCTTCGGATCAGTCTGATATGTTATCAAAAATTGGATCTGATTGAAAGTGAAACATGAAAATCTCAAATGTATGGGCATAATGCAGGATGACCTGTGTCATCCCTATATACTAAGTACTACCGTACTCAGTGATCATTATGTTTTATGTAAATTTTGTGCTGCAGACCCTTTTTGTCAAGTTCCTTCTGATTTCGTCGTACTGTTTATCATTGCATTGTGCCACCCTAGGCTCAGTCTCTTCACCTTCTATCGGACTCATTGAGGTTTAGGTTCCATACATTGGCTGTACTTTATTTTGAGCAACTACAAGTGACACACAGTTCTATTTTCTCTCCTATCTACGTGAAATCTGTTTTTGCTGATTCTTCTATATTACATTTGCACTTTTACTGGATATGGATAAGATCATTAGATGTATATATATAGGAACTTCATGCACTGACCTTTGTGCTGCTAGACTATTGAGGTCATCTTAATTAAGAATTACGCTCACCATGTGAAGTCACTATTTTATCCGAGTCATTTATGATAGCACAACTGAAATCCTCCTTAGTTATTTTCGTATTTTTTCGCCCTTGTTTACAAGCTCATTGTATTTCCCTCCATACGTTCTCTTAGAGTAGTAACCCACATTGGTAGTAGGCTTTGACTTCCACTTTGATAAAGAGGTTACGATACCCACGGCTTCAGAGCCAGCACAGTGCGTGAAAATGACTCTTCGTGGTAGTTCAGTATGGTACTACTGATACTAAGACGCCCGACCATAGCGGTAAGCATGGGCCCTCGATCACCGTGTGGAGTTCAGCACAGTCAGTGATGAGAGAGTACAGGGCTTAGCGACACAGCCCCACCCCGCCCTCTATATATATAGCTCTGTGCATGGCGCACGCGCAATAGTGCTACATACGCTGATGTTCGCCAGATACAAGTCGCCAGTCGGTTGAAGATCCATATCTTCTGTCAAAAGGGGTCCTTATATCCCTCCCACTAGTGGTTTGTTTCTCGTAATTGTCGCCTTGCTAACTATGGTATAAATTTGGATGTGTGCGAATCAGAGTTAGAGAGACAACTCCTGATGCACTCTACTTGACTCTTTGACTACCATGGACCCCACCTTCTTCAGTCATGTGTTATGCTTCCTACATGTTTTTTTAACTTGTCTTTGTATGATGACTGAGAGTAAGATCAAAGGAATTCCAGCTAGTCCAAACAACGTACACGCGTAGTGAGCGCTTCCTGCTGAGTTTACGGGTAGTTATACCATAAAGAGGCCATACGATTTCCCCATACTTTAGCTGTATGTCAACTCATTTGCATAAACCACAATGGGTATATGGTAGTTATACGATAGTAGGAAATTGGCAGCGTGCTATGCAATTAGGGGGCTTTTACACTCTTTGTGTGCTGCTGTTTCTTTACCAGAAGGGAGTGTTTTCAGGCTGGAATGGCCAGAAACTGCTCTAGTATATACGCGGTCTGAAAACTAGCTAAAAACTGCTTCCCGACGCGTAGGCTCCCGTAGACTGGAACAGTATGTGACTTTCAGCTTTCTTGCTACTGCAACAGGCTGCATTCGAGAGCGCTGGGTATAGCGGGAGAGAAAGCGAGCCAGAGCGGCAGCTACAAAACTCGTGTGGAGTCCAGCAGCGAAAAAGTGACGTATATACCTGTAACGTTGAACTCTCGAAAAAATGACCATGGCTTCTGCACAACCGCCCAGCTTGACCAAACTAAAGCGCTTATTGCAGCTGTCTCTCCGCTCCCGATCGATCGCTAGCTCTCTAGCTCTCCGTACACTCGAGGGTGTGCGTTAAAAAGAGGGCGTTTTGAAAGCTTTTGCGCAATCTCATTGGTCAGAGCCTTACCGCGGGATGTCATCATACAAACACGTTATACGATGGCTTTGCTTGTGGTTTACTGGTTGTACACTCGTGGCTTCAGTTTTGATAGACCACTCGGGCTACGCCCTCGTGCCCTATCAAAACTGGCCACTCGTGTAAAACCAGTAAACCACGCGCCGCCATCGTATAACCTATACGTATTCATGTCATGCCCGGGCGGGCCATTCAAACATGAACTTTGAACTTTGAACATAGTGTAAGGTTTTTTCCAGTCCGAATTATGGATCAGAAAAGCTGCGTGGTGCTTATTAGAGCTCCCAAAGGCCCCGAGGATGTATATAAGAAAGTGAGAACTCTACCTGCAACTTCCTAGTAGAACCGTGTTTATGCAGGTTATAGAGCAAGCGGATTTCTCCGTACACTTTGTGAAAGCACTTGATTTTGAACACATTAACTCCGAACATTTGGTATCAGCACTTCAAAAGAAACATGGAGGTATGTACAATTAACCTTCTAGTCTGATTATTGGACCTGCTTGTGCATCGACATATAACGAAACTGAAAACAGAAATACACGACCAAGAACATTTTACATGTGCGCATGTGCAATGAGGGGTTTCATTGTCACGTTTTTTTGGCGAGGGATGGTCACTCAGGGCAGGCATTTACCACAGGTTCGTTTATGACAGAGGCCAAGATGCGGTAAAGAGGTGAGGGTTGCTTTTGAGCTACGGCAAAGCAGTCGAAGAGGGTCAGTTTTAGGGGAAGTTATTACTGTAGCCATTTTGAAGACGTTGCACACAACATCAGTTAATTGTAACTCTGCTCAGAATCTTGCACCTAACAACGGCAACTGATGTTTGGATGTGTGCAGTGGCATATTGCCTAGCTAATGTCACATTGCTCTGCCATGCTTTACGCTCAGACTTGTGACAGAGATCTACACCTTATAGTTTCAATCTGATAGTGACTAGCATATTTTAGAAAAGAGATTTTCTCTGTAGTGAGCGTGAGTGTGCACGTAAGATGCAAGCATAGTTTCTAAAGAGCACTTGGAGCAATGACGCCCATATTGTAGGTTGTTTGGTCAGTGGGTGTGCACTTCTTAGTTTGGAAATAATCTGTCGATCGCATTTGCCCGATTACATTCCACATTTTGTGATTTTGGTGAAGGAAAAAGCTTCCAAAATACGTCTGTCATCAACCATAAAAAGATATGTTTATGCCAAGTAAAAGGGTTACAGCTGAATTTTGCCAGTCAAGAATCATGGCCCCAGTCATATACGTACCTATGGTAAGTCCCTGAGTGACTGCCTCTCATATTTGTGGTGTCTCACTGGTCGCCTGAGAGTAGGTTACTGCCAGGAAAAAATTCCTGTAAGTAACCTGTGGCTGAAAAAACTTACTATAATGCACTGGGCCGTGTTGATTCAGATCACATAGGCACTGCTGAAATTAACCCTAGTTTAGGGGTATTCAGAGGAAGTACAAATTCCCTCCCCCCAAATTCCCAGGACAAGCACTGACACATGCACAATCGGTTTAATCTATCATTGTCAGCCTATACTACCAAGAAACCCGTTACGAATAGGTATTCTGTTTTACTAATTCTAGGTTTCATATTTACAAGTCAAAATGCAGTGGAGAGTACATTTCAAGCAATATCAACTGTTAAAGGTATTAACTAATCTCTGGTTGTCTGCAACCTCCAAAGTCTTGTGATTCTCTATGTTAAAAAGATATGTTTATGCCAAGTAAAAGGGTTACAGCTGAATTTTGCCAGTCAAGAATCATGGCCCCAGTCATATACGTACCTATGGTAAGTCCCTGAGTGACTGCCTCTCATATTTGTGGTGTCTCACTGGTCGCCTGAGAGTAGGTTACTGCCAGGAAAAAATTCATGGCCCCAGTCATACAAGAAAGTGCTCAGTGGCGGATCTAGGATTTTGAAAGGGGGGCTTCCGCTGTCCAGAACGTTTCGACTGCACTCTGCACGCCGGCGATGCATGCACGCAAAACAACAAAAAGGGGAGTTCTGCTGAACCCAAGGAACCCCCATGGATCCGCCACAGGTGCTAGCTGTAGCCTGGCCATGATGATTTAATTCGGATGTGGTGACATTAATGTCTTTGATTTGGTGTTTCTTGTCAGCAAAAAAGGAGAAAATATTTCAGGCGTAGAGTGACCGAAATTACCCTGTTTTACCTTTACATCCTGCTTTCAGGAAACAAGGGACAGGCCAGGTATCACATCCCAGAACAGGCAGCTAAGTCCATTCCACTCTTGATAACACCACCGGAAGGGCAGGATACTTCCAACACATTGTTTTCACGTCCACATTCATTCAACGCAGAGCAGTCCATGAAAAAGGGCACTTAAGTTAGAGATGTTCATTGCTACGGTGACCGCAGGCCTGCCCGTATGACAAAAACACGAAAACAAGGCAATTTACATGTTTACAACCATCACTTATAGCCAAACATGACAAAAGATGTTTACAATGGTCACTTTCAAAAGTAGTGTCGATGTAAACTAGGCAGATTGCTTGCAGCATACTCAAATAAGGCATTGTCCTGCACGATCTTGAGAAAGCAGCCATCTTTGCACATGAAGTTGGAGCATGTGCTTTCAGGGTTCTTGAAATTCTTACTTCTTCAAACACATGTTTTTAGCTACAGCCGCGTTCAGAGCACGCTTCTTCTGACAATACACTCCTGAACTTTATACGGCATTCACACATGCGCAGGTGTGCGTACATGAAACTAAATCAGCCCTGAGCCCTGAATGATGCTCTCACACTGATAAAAATGTTAACAAAAACATTTTCTTCCTATGTCTAAAGAAATCTCCTGGTGGCACTAGGTCAAAACAACGTGATTACTAGTCCAACCAAAGTCTCTGCTGCAGTGGCCACTCGTTTTGTGCAGCAGGGCTCCTGGAGAGTCTCGGATTTCCCCAGTGCTTCAAGAAGTACAGTCGGCAGCTGTGTCCTAATCCTGTTCACTCAGAAATGAAGACTTCATTTTTGACACCATGATTGAAATTGAAATAGAAGTGGTAATAACTAAACTGAAGCAAGGAAAGTCTACGGGCCCAGATGTAATTCTACCTGAACATGTTATTCACAGTGGCCCTACCTTCATACATTATTAGCATCGACGTCATTCCTCCCTGTCTCTCAAGTGTAATCGTTGTCCCGATTTACAAAGGAAAAGGAATCCATTCCGGACCTTAAATTACCATGGCAACTTATTCACCTGTGTTATTCTAAAGCTATATTCATGACCCCAATCTTGAGCAAGAATGGTGTACCTCACTATAGCCTATAGCCAGACAGCATTCGAATTAGGCATCTCATGTGCAGACCCCACTGAAGTCGTCGAAAAGGCTGTCAGATATTCAGGAAGGTTGCATAGTCTACCAGTCTTTGATCTTGAAAAGACATTTGACTCAGTGGAATACTGTGTCTTTCTCTACCACCCTTACAGATTAGAAACAAATAGAGAGGCCTGGACAATGTTTGGTCCAAAGTCTCTCAGCAAAACAGTGTTTGTGCCTTGCCCAGGGACATTTCATGTCGTAAACTGTGGGAGATGACACACAACCTGTGTGTTCATGGTTTGAGACTTTCATTCTTAAAGTCCTGGCAACACCATTTCCAGGAAATCTCTCAATGCCCCTCTGTGATGACAGGCTACCAAGAGACTCTAGTTGCAGACCACATATCAGTGGAACATCTGTCCCAACCACACTCCAACTTCTCTTAATAGTGATGACCATCTGTTTTCTGTGGGATCGGACTAAAACACCTCTAGGCATTTCCCCTTACCTCCATCTCTTATATAATTATTATGCCACTGGGCCTATTTGCATGCTTATGTCTATTACTGCTATAATCCTAAACAAACTTTTGAACTTTGAACTTTAAAATTCAGACCTTAATTGTTTGGCTCCGACCGCCCTGCATACTCTGTGAATTCTTTAGGGTTGTGCTTTTTGACAGCCTGCACAAGCAATAATTTTGCACCAAAAGCGAGTTTCACAATGTGACTATTTAATTTTCATGCAGTTTGACACATAGAGTGCTGTATGTTTTCACCAACAATTCCCTGGTTGTAGGCTGTAGCCTGGCTGTGAATACTGACTTCACAACTGACCAATTCTAATGGGTTAGTATATATTTTTCTTGCTCCCAGTCCTGCAAGAAAATTATATGCTAGCTGTAGCCTAGCTGCGATTACAACCTTTGACTGCAACTGGTAGATGCACAAGTGTATTGGTTTGCCGTTTATAGGGTGCTGAGGTTTGTACTTTTGTGGTTTCATATCTAATTATTACTAAGTGGCTGTTGCAGTAAAACTAACAAAAGAGTAACCATACTATTAAAAAAAATTGTTCAGGCAAAAATAAAAAAACAACTGTTAATAGCTAGATACATAGAGTATTCAGTGTGGTGTAGACTTCGTCCACATTGTTTCTACACAATACCTACCTGTTTCAGATAAAGTGGCAAGGTTTGTGGAGCAGTGGAAAGACACTCCTGTGTTTGTGGTAGGAAAAGCAACTGCTGCATCAGGTTTAATTTAAATTTACAGCCCAAGGAAAGACAGTTTGTAATGTGTGTAATGAACATGCCACATTAGCACATGCAGTATTATTTACTGGTCACATGACTTCTGACCAATCAGATATGTGGAAAGGTTAGCTAAGTGTGTTATTAATATGTATGTATTTGCATAGTTATGCAGGTCGGTCTGAAAACTACCGGAGCTGCATGTGGAAATGCTAAGATGCTGGCTACAACCATACTGAAGTGTAAAGAAAAAGTGATTGTGCTGCCCTTACATTTCTCCTACAGATTTTGCAGATAAGGATATACCAAGCGTTGATCCTTTACTTTTTCCATGTGGGAACCTTGCCAGAGACACTCTTCCAAGTGAACTGGAAAGTGTAGGCCTGAAGATTACTCGTATAGTGTGCTATAATACACTGAGACATCCCGGCATTGAAGAGAGTCTCAAAACACTCAGTCACTGCAAAGTTAGTTCGCGTTACATGCATGCACACTATGGTTGAACTATGATGTTCATTTTAAAATCCATCACAATTATATTCTCTGTCACAAAGCACGTTCCTGCAAAGAACCAACATTTTAAGCAAAACAGGGTGCTCAATGAATTTTTATGCTTGTTTTCAGGGAAGTAATTTTAGAGAAAAGAGCTTTTGATTTCCTTGTCTTACTGTATAAGCTAGCATTTCTTCTTTTTTACACATCAGCGAGAGATGCAAGATTAAGCAGTGCTGACAGAGTGGCTGACAGATGGACTGACAAGTGAAACCTTCACTGCGCATGCACAGAGCAGTAAATAACACAACAGAGGTGATATTAATGGCCATGACAACATTGGCTAATGATAATAATTAAGTCATGGCCATTATAAAAAAGAGGCATATATGGAGGGTATAAAAACAAGGGGAGACAACATAGGGATGGGATACATGAAGCATGGTTAATTAAAAGCACACTGACGCCCCTGACCATATCACACAATCCCTATATGGTTGCCTTGTGTGCACCTCTTGGACCCGGTAACGGTTACTCAGTAGCATAACACATTCCACACTGTTAGTACAACCTGTACTTCAAGCTATAGGTCCTGGACATATTGTAATAGTGAATGTTTAATACCCAACCTAGGCAACGAGATTGTGTGATGGGGTATAATTTAAGAGAAACACACCAAGGGATTGTGTGATGGGGTTGGGGTGTCAGCCTCATGCTCAAATCTGTTCCTAAACCATGCTCATGCATCCTATCCCTATCTTGTCTTTTATACCACCCCTATATGCCTCCTTCTACTTATAAAAGTAATTTGTGCTTTAGGCTATTTGTTGTTGTTCAAACAATATGTGGTTGTCATGGAAACTATGTATTATGCATGCGTCTTCACCTCCATGCGTGCTGTAGTTAGCAAGTTTGAGGAGTGAAGAAGTGGTTTTAAAGAAAATTGCCTGAGGCTTTTTCAAACAGTATGGGGTTGTCATGGAAACATGTAGTTGTCATGGAAATGATATAATAGGCATACATACCAAGTTTCATCTCTATGCATGCTACCATTAGAAAGGTAGAGAAGAAGTAAATTTAAAGCTATTTGTTATTGTTTACAAACATGTATTGTTGTGTTTTTAATGTTGGTGATTGAATACATTGTGTTTACAAAGTTTTGTTCACATACGTAGCTCTTACCATTGTGAGTTACACTGACACATGTGATCCCATTATATTGTATTGCCTGGGCTATTTGTTGTTGTTTACAAACAAGTATGTATGACCAGTCTCTTCGGGTGACGGATATCTACATTGTTACAAAATTTCATTACCACAAGTAAATTAAAAATCCTGCGAATTTAAAAAAGAGGCATATAGGGATGGTATAAAAAGAAAGGGAGACAAGATAGGGATGGGATACATGAAGCATAGTTAATGAACAGATTTGAGCACACTGACACCGCAACCCCATCACACAACCCCTATATTGTTGCCTGGTGTGTCACTCCATTTGTACTCTTGGTTACTCAGTAGCAGACTTTTTCATATTTTCAAGCTAGACTATTGTGTAATGTTGAACTTCACCTAGGCAACAATATAGAAACAGAAACTTTAAGTTTGCCTCAGGCAATAAAAACTTGTGTAAATGGTGTCTGTGCCTCTAACTTGCTAATGGTTGGTCTTCTAACAATGAAACTTGGTACACAGATGTACCATGATGGGAGTTCATCCAAACAAGTTATTAAAAGCTTGTAAACAACAACAAACAGCCTTTTAATTGCGAATAATTTTTTATTACATATCACTAAGTACTACCATACTTAGTGATATGTTATTTCGTTTTTGAGTTACGAGAGTTCAATCTGAAGAAGAAGGAGAAGGAGAAGAAGATGAACAAAACTCCCTATCATAGCCCCATACATCTATGATGCTAGGTACCATGCCCATCCCTATAATTGCCGAGCGCGTTAGCATGAGGCAACTACTCCGGGTTGTATTCTCGCGATATGCGTACGTGTCGGTCATGCTTAAGAATGTCAATTAGTCACGCTTAGGGAATGTCAATTAGTCATGCTTAGGAATGTCAATTCCCGCTGTGCGCGCAGATTCGTAGGAAGTCTGGCTTCGCGCGCAGTCAGTAGAGCACGCGCACGAGCGGCCTCAGTCTGACTGTTTACGCATTGGCTGGCAGGCGCGAGGCAAAATATGTGCGTGCGCATTCCTAGTTATACTAAGTACATGTAAACAACAAAAACACAAAAATAGCCCCAGGCCATCAATTATGATAGTGTGCTAACTAGGTAGAGCAAATAAAACTTTGTACACACATGCAACCCATCATTACAAGTTTTTAAACAACAAACAGCCTCAGGCAATAAAAACTTGTAAATGGTGTTTGTGCCTCTAAATTTCTTGTGGTTGGTCCTCTAACAATGAAACTTGGTACACTGATTCACCATGATAAGAGTTCATCGAAATATACAAAATTACAACAACAGCAAATGGCCTCAGGCAAAAAAGACTTGTAAATGGTGTCAGTGCCTATAACTTGCTTATGATGGGTCCTCTCACAATGAAACTTTGTGCACTGATGTAATGTGAATGATGACATAACGTCTGAACCGATAGCTTAACACTTATGTGTCCAGGGTCTTCATAAGTCCATAAGAATTTAAAAAGGGGTTGAACTGACATTGCTTGCTCGTGTAAAATTTCCTCCACACAAGCCGTATATTGTCGCTACCTCTACTGTTTTTTTAGTGAAGTGCAAGGACAATGGTGAAAGGATTCTGTATGTAGATGGCCAGGAGCGCAGCATTGAACTGGTTAGTTGAGCAAATGTAGAAGTCCCAGACTTCACACAATGCAGTCACAACTGAAAACCCAGCAGACGGTATTACCTGTCTATAAATCATAGCTGTGCTTCATACAAGGGAGCACACTCGTCCTTCGCGACAATATAGGGCTTGTGTGGAAGAAATTTTACACGAGCAAGCGATGTCAGTTCAAAGTATGTAGCCATCATCCATTGTACTACTGCATCACGTTCACTTGGTCATCCCTGTCTTGTCTCCTTGGCATCCCTATATTCCACACTTCTTTAATTCGAACAATGGTTTTTATTTACTTGTACAATGTTGCAGTGTTGGCATAAGAGTAATCAGCTAACATTTCTTATTCCTTCCCAGGTGTTTGGTAGTCAGTGCTGCATTGTATTTTTCAGCCCTTCTGGTGTGGAGTTTGTCTTACCATTTCTAACGGCATATTGTGATATGAAGATCACGAAGGTATAAAAATCAGTACAAGACTCCTTCCTTCAGTCATAGGCATTAGTGGCATGATAAATGTATGTATGTGTTCATGTGGAATGTGGTCTTGGGACTAAGCATGTGTATGGACACGATATGGCTTTGCAATACCATATTGAGAGTTTTTCTGAGTTCAGGCACAAATGATATCTCAGCTATGCACAAGTAGGCCAAAGGAAGTACCAATAATAATTGGTGAGCGAACTTGAGAACTTAGAAACACTAAAGTATGTGCCAGCCATATAGTAAAACATTCAGGTGACTAGCTTTGCTCACTTCCACTTCGCTCACCAATTACCACATCTAAATCTGATGAAGAAAAAGCAGGCATTCTTGCATGCACAAGTTGTTAATGGCGAAAATGCAACAGTTTGTAATGGATGTGTATCTGTTGTGCAGGTTATTGCTATAGGTCCTACTACAGCCACAAGCCTGAAGCAAGTTGGAATATTCCCTATAATGGCGCATGCACCAACCCCAGAAGCACTCCTGGTTGCAGTACACCAATGTTTTATAAAGTCTACATGAAAATAATATGATAAAAGGTGTTCAAAACTTTATTGTTGGCGGACGCAGAAAAAGAAGTACCTATGGCTATTTACAAACTTCACTCTTACCATAGTACACCAGCGTACGAAGTTACACCCACAACCAATGCCAATACATACTGCATTAAGTAAAACTGCAGAAATTGCATATCATCAGGATCCCACCCAAGACAACAGCCAAAATGGTTAGCTTCAGAGAGCTACGTATGAAGTGGCAGTAAGGGCACAGTACCACCTTCACCATACAGTCATAGAGTAAACTTTGTCATGCGCTGTAGTGGCCCGTCACACTGGCATGGGGCATACAAGGGGGGGTAGGAACTTTAATTATGACAATGTTGCCATTATTGAACTATTATGCAGCTTGTTCAGGATTTATTGGGTATATGTCCATTCCAATCCACTTCACATTGGTAGTGACAGCATTCTCATCATCCTCTGCCTCGGCATTCACCTGAATTATACCGACATAAATTTCAGTTAAGTAGACCACCCATAATCGGACACAATATACTTTCAGACGCTGGCTTGTCACTTAACTTAGGGATTTCAATAAAAGTACATGAAAAATAACTCTGATAAACCTGACTACGCAGTCCCAGAAACGTTTGACTCGGTGCGCTATAGAGCGGCAAAAATAGCATCAGACACAGGTATATTAGGATGCAGGCATCTAACACCTGACTTCGGTTGGATGTAGCCGAAATCTTTAAAAGGCACCACAACATGCAGAAAGCATCCTGTACGTTGGGCCATAACCGGTGTCGTGTGGTAGTTAAAACACTGCATGTGGACATTGGTGTGCCAAGGAGCACGTGGTAAATTAGCCCCAATCAACTAGTCTAACTGGTGTTACGTAGGGAAGCACTTGTCTTAAGTGCCACCATACTTTGTGGGTAAAAGGTGCGTATGATATTGCTGTCTTGAAGAGTCTAACTCTGAGTAGAAGCTGCTTGTAGCATGAGGAAAGGTTTTGACACTCGTGTGTAACTCCGCAAGTGTTATGGTCGTTAATGCATAATGTGACGTTACTTCCATTTTTCTATTTCCTATTACATGTTTATATCACTATAAACATAGCTGTATTCTGGACGCTTTGCCATTTTGTTATCCATATTCTCGAACTTAAGTTACAAGTTTTTGGGGACGAGGATGGGATGACAACCACCGGCACACTCGGCCGCATCAACAAATTCGAGGGCACTATGGACGACTGGCTCCAATATGTGAAGCATTTCTTCATGGTGAACAGCATCACAAGCCAATAACTGTTCTCCTGACCGTCGTTTTTGCTACGACCAACAAGCTATTGCGGAACATTCTGTCTCCAGGTGAAAAGGTGTCGTGAAGATTCTTTTGAAACACTACAGAGTGGACTCCACTGCACAGAATAAACGGGAACTCCGGTCCCGACCAGAGCATGAGGCACTTTTTCGTGCACCTCCGCAGGACGTTCACAGGACGGCAGTGTCATCTTGTTCCAGTTCGTCAACCCAGGTCAAGTTTGTTCCGACATGTTGTCATTGTGGTCGTAAGTATCGACCGTGTACCGACGTGCAGGTTTGACAAGAACATTGTGTGTCATTAGTATCACAAGAGAGCACACCTCCAGCATCCATGTCTGAACTGTTCAAGAGTAAGGGCCAAGTCTAAGCCTGTTGGTTAAATGGGAGAGACTGAGGAGACTGACCAAGAACAGGAACATGGGTTGGAGACTCTATCACCTCAAAACTTGTGTGGCTGCAGATATGCCACCCTTCACAGTGCTAGACGACAATGAGGTCCTAGCTAGATCCTTTTGAAGGTAGACTCAGGACATTAGTGTCTGAGAGGCCCTGGTGTCCACCTCAAAGTTGTTTAGCACTTTGAAGATGAGGGAATTAATTTGTTGAAGACTGCCAGAATTACCAGACTGTAATCCGATTGAGAATTTGTAGCTTGAGTTAAAAGAGTTTAACAGAAAAGCTGTAAAGCCAAAAAACAGAGCAGTTAGTGAATGGGATTCGCGGAGTTTGGAGTGAGGCTACAGTTGAAAAATTTCCAAAACACCTAGGGAAGGTACTCCCTAAGGTAATGCAATGGGGGACCTGTAGTGTATTGCATAATTAGGTAGTATTAGTTCTAGTGTGCATGTGGTTGTATTAGGCCTATATAGTGCGCATGTGCACCATTTGGTTATATATGCATGCCTGTTGTACACGTGTTTTGAGTTGTGACTGGGTTTCGATGATTATTGTGAACTACCATATACTGTAGGACCTACAGACTACTAGTAGTTCAAATCGGGTTTGCAGTCTGGTAAAGCTTGGAAGAATGCTTTTGGTCATTGTTCTGCTGTAGCTGTATACACTCCTCATCTGTCTGGTCCAATTTTATACTCACTGTCGCGTTTTGCAAGTCCCCTTCAGTTATTTATTGGCGAGGGGAAGCTAGTGGTCTGAACGACGTGTAAATACAGTGCATGCATTTGGATTACGTGTATCAGACATGATTTTATCCCGATTTTTTCCTCAATGTGTGACCTAGCCAGCAAGAGAACTCTCGTCTATTTGACAGCATTCGCTGCACCCTTCGGTGCTGACAGAGGCTGTTTCCGATCTTCATGGTTCCAAGGTGCAAGTTGTAAATAGGCTAGGATGGCTCGTGCAGATACAGTTATTGTGTGCTTGCTCCCACTCGCCTTGCATTAGTCTACTGGTAAAAAAAGTGAACGTGCCACGTATAACCATGGCTTCGTGTGATTATCAGAGGCATGCATGCAATGCCCACTGCGCATTCAGGCCGCGGGCTAGCAGATTGAGGCCATGTAGCTAAACAACTTAGTGTGTTGTTACGCAGAACTGTTGGGTCGTCCCCTGCTGCAGTAAACCATGGGTTGAAGCACAGAGGTTGCTAGGGTTAGCATTACGCGAATGTACACATATTAGCATTATATCTGTGATGCTACGTAGGTACCATACACATCCCTATAATACTAAGTACTTAGTGACATGCATTCCTTTTACATAATGAATTACGGGAATCAGTTACATGCAGTAAGAAGACCTAAGGATAAAGACAAAATGCGGATGCTGAAATTTCCTATCAAGACTTCAAGACCAGTACTTACTGCCATACAACAAGCCATGCTCACCACAAACAAGCTAGTATTGGGGTCATTTGTTTTTATCCGGCAGATGTAACCAGGGTAAAGGGTAACTGCTTGCTCTATCATACCATGTAACAATAGACCATAATATAAACTACGGTAGTACTTAGTATAATATAGGGATGACACACGATGTCCTGGATTATGCCCATACATTTGAGATTTTCATGTTTCACTCTCAGCCAAATTTTGACAGATCAGACTGATCCGTATCATCACAAAGAGCATGTATCCAAGAAATGGCTTAAATCGCATAATCGGTACTTGAATAATTCAAAAAGTCAGCTTTCAAAATTCTTCTCCTTGTTGTTGTTGAGTTAGACAAGCGTATCTAAAAAACATTTAAATGGAGATGAAACTTTGCACAAAGATAGGAATCCGTGACCTGGCATGCAAGAGAATTTTAATTTGTTTGTAAACAATGTTGTTTACATGTTGGTCTAATGCCTTCATGTAAACAACAAAATAGCCCCAGGCCATAAATTATGATCAAAACAACTAACACAGTTTCCCGTGAAAATGGTACTGACTACATCTTTCTGCCGAATGGCTAACCTGACCACCTCAACACAGCAGTGTAGCCCACCGCTCACATACACACACGTGCACACTTCTTATACCCAGCTCAACTCCAAAGCATACTCTGCAAGAAGCTACCATGACACAACACTTATTCATTGCGTGTAACCTTATCATATAACAATATTTAAGTGCAAACCCTCGGCGAACTGCGCATGCGCGGTACCCCTAAAAATAGATGGGCTGGGCTATTTGCGGTTTACTCGCGGTCTCCAGCTAGTAGCTCGCAGAGAGTCTGACACTGGCTAGCTACAGTAGTAGATAGCATCCGGGAGTCAATACACACCCTTCGCTGTGGCTTCTTGTGCCTCCAAGGTATATACACAGAGCAAGCGGATCAGGTCGAGGTGCGTCTAATACACGCATGCGCACCGCTTATTCATGGGTTGGGGCCACGCAACGCTTGTTGCTCTCTAACTCAGCAAAATCGGCATTTTTTTTCCTAGCCCATGTACCGCTAAAGCTGTTGGGTATCGCTCATAAGCCGCCTCGTTGCCTGTAGTGCGAGAATAGTCGTAGACAGACAGACAGACAGACAGACACAGAACGACTACCGTAAACCTCGCTGCGCATGCGCGCCGAGGGTTAATTGCCGAGCGCGTTAGCGTGTGAGCATGAGGCAACTACTCGATCCGGTTAAACGTTGTATGCGTATATACGTACGTACGTGTCGTCACGCTTAAGAATGTCAATTAGTCACGCTTGGGAATGTCAACTTCCGTCATTCATAGGAAGTCTAGCTTCCGCCGTGCGCGCGGCGCGGAAGTCTGGCTTCGTTCGCGCGCAGTCTAGTCTCAGTAGATCGAGCGCGCGCACGAGCGGCCTCTTGCTCTCGGGTTCGAACCGACGGAGTAGTGCTTTTTTGGCCTGGGCAAAGTCGTCTCTCGTATCTCCCGAGGACCTGGCGGCTGCACTCCGTATAATCGAGGATGACGGCCCCTCAGCGGGACTCCACCTAAACCGAGCAAAATCTCTCCTCTTCATCCCTGAGGAATCCGATGCCTCACTCTCCTCCCTCCCGTCCGACATCCCTACCACTCGTTGTGGTTTCACCCTCCTTGGCTGCCCCATTGGCCCCCCTACCTATTGTGAGGAGGTCTTTGGGGGGCGGGTTGCGAGGGTGAAGTCCTCCTTGGAGGCTCTACAAGACATCGCTGACTCACAGATGGAGACCTCGCTCCTACGCTCGTGTCTTGCCCTCCCCAAGGTTTCTTTTATTCTCCGCACCTGCCCTATCAGCCACATTCGTCATGCGGCCGAGGAGTTCGACAATGCTGTTCGTGATGCCCTGGAGACTACTGTGGGTGGACCCATGTCTGATTGGTCTTGGCTCAAGGCATCTCTCCCCAGCAGTCTAGGTGGCCTCAATCTTCGAAGTGCATCCCTCCACGCTCCTGCAGCTTTCCTCGCCTCCTCTCTCCAGAGCTCGCAAATAGTGGAGAGAATACTGGGTCACCAATCTGGCATCTCTCCCCATACCAACTCCACTCTAGCTTCCCTCGCAGTCGCTGCTGCCCATCCCGAGTGGTCTGACCTTGACAACATCGATGTCCCTCTCCACCAGCGTTCTTTATCCCACGCTATAGATGAGGCAGCACACCATCACCTCCTCTCATCCGCCCCCAACACACGTTCTCGAGCTCTAGTACTCTCGACTGGGTTGCCCCATGCTGGAGACTGGCTGAATGTCGTACCTTCAGCCCACTTGGGACTCCATCTCAACGACCGGGAGTTTCGTTGCTGTCTGCGATACTGGCTGGGAGTCCCTCTTCACAGCAGCTCCTACATCTGCCCAGAATGTCGAAGATCAGCTGACCCCTTTGGGGATCACCAGGTGGGCTGTGGGGGCAATGGAGATCGTATAGCCCGCCATAACGCGATTCGGGATGTGCTGTTCAATGCTGCCCAGTCTGCTGCTCTGGCTCCCACAAAAGAAGCCCCCAGTTTGGTGCCCGGTTTCAGCACTCGTCCAGCCGACATCCTTCTCCCAAACTGGTGCCGTGGGCATCCAGCTGCACTAGACGTCAGTGTTATATCGCCACTGCAGCAGCTAACTCTGGCTGAGGCTGCTTCTTCTCCTGGCCATGCCCTTACTGTTGGCGTTCGAAGGAAGCTGACATCCAACCTTCCATCCTGTCGAGCGGCTGGTGTGGACTTCCTCCCTATTGTTGTGGAGACACTAGGAGGTTGGTGCCCTGATGCCGTTGCTACCATCCGTTCAATAGGTCGAGCATTGGGTCAGCGGCTGAACTCTACCGATCCGATTGACATGACAAAGCATCTTTTCGGCCGTCTAGCAATAGCCCTATGGCGAGGCAATGCGGGCCTCTGGATGCACCGCCATCCATCCCTTCCCCCTTCCATCGACGGTGTAGTTTAATTTAATTTAATTGTTAATTGTTAATATATATATATTTTTTCCTTTGTTGTCTGTCGAGTTTTCCTTGCTGTTTACTAATCATTTTTCCTCAGTTTCTTTTTGCACTGTTTACGCAATGGCTGGCGCAGGCGCGAGGCAAAATATGCGCGTGCGCATTCCTAGTAATTGCTTAATGTACCAGAGATGACTACTGACAAAAACTTAATTGTGTAAGACTTACCATTTTGCTTACTACATACTTTCCGTCTTGTTCACAGTTAATACTTTGAAAAATGTGTTTTCCCTGTCCATGGGGCTAAAAATTACACATTTTAAAAAATCACTATTAAGCACAATTAAGCTTATGTACCTGGTCCTTTGAGAAGCTTCCTTTGAATATGTAACTTGGAAATATCATCTCACCTCCACCTTCCCTAACTCCATTTACCCAGGTACCAACAACTGGGCACAAAGTGACAGCAAGGTTCATAGTTAATCATGATGTTTAGTTTATTAAATGTAAGTTTTATTGGGGATACTGGATTTCGGTAGTATACTACGGATGTCAAGGGTCCCTCAGCATTATGTCCACACATATGAAAAGATTCAAATTTTTACTTTCATTTTCGATCAGATCACATAATATTATGTTGAATCCGATTGTAATAATACACGTGTACCTAATAAATGGCTTAAATCCAATAATTAGTCTTCGATTTATTTAAGAAAGTTTATTTTCATAATTTTTTTTGTTGTCATGCATGTTCAGTTTGGACAAGTGTACATATCTCAAAAACAGCGATAGGTATAGAGATGAAACCTTGTACACTGATTGGATTCTATTACCCGGTGTGCAACGTCATATTGATTTATTGTAAACAACAAATGACAACAAAAGTAGCCCTAGGCCATACATTATGATAAAGTGCGATAACTAAAGTATATTTGCGCTCACCTGGACTCTGGAATAGGCCGGTGCGGATTATTCCGGAATAATTTTGGGAATAATAGGCAGTGCAGATAGGCGGGAATAATTCCGGAATAATAGGCTGCTTTTTAGCTGAGGGGGCGGGGGAAAGCATGCGTGTTTCTGCATGGGGGCTAGATACCAATGCCTGTGGATGTTGAGAATCTGTTGTCACCAAAGCTACAGTAAGAATTGAGGCTGAGTCTGAGATTGGCACTGCTAGAAAGATTGGCAAGTTCCCCACGAGTGTTCTTCAAAGCACGCCGTATATATAGTTAGCTATATACAGAGACTACACTTACAATCTGACACATGTTCTTGAGAATACTTGAGAATAATAGGGAGAATTGTGTGGGAATAATAGGAGATTTCAGAGGAATTTAGGAAAAGAATAATGGGCAAAACAAGGAATAATCCGCACAGGCTTACTCCGGAAGTCATTGTGTAAAAAATAACCGCATACTTTTGTTATGGCTAGCTTTTGACTGGTAGGGATTCAGGCTTAGTAAAACATATGGTTAGATTCAGAAGAGCGTGAGGTACTGCATTACTTTCTGAAATTGGATGAAAAATAAGCAGTTATGGCATATTTTCGAGGGTCCAGGTGAAGTCAAATAGACTTTAGCTAATGCCAATACTTGGAATGATAGAACTTTGTAGATGTGCGCAAGCCATCATTAATATCAAAATGTAAACATTACACGTTTGTAAACAACAACAAGCACTTATAACTTCTTTATGGTTGGTTCTCTAACAATAAAACCTGGTACACTGATGTACCACGGTAAGAGTTCATTGAAACAGAAATTACAAGTTTGTAAAAACAGCCTCGGGCAATAAAAACTTGTATAATGTGCTTGTGCACATGGTCGGCAGCGATGAAACTTACACTATGTACTTTGGTAAAATAAATGATAACAAACAGTTTGAGGCAATCACGCTACGCTACTTTTTATATGGACTTTATGCCCCAAGTTTATATTGCACACCACTGCATGTAAATACAGTAGTGTGAAATATAGGGATACCATAAAAAGCACAGGGATGTGTATACAGTCCATGTGATGAAGTAGTAGAATGGATGATGGTTACTGACATTGCTTGCTCGTGTACTCCACACAAGCTCTTTTGAGTTTCTTTGGTGAATGATGCAAATTGGAGGACTAATGGTAAAGAATTTTATAGAAGATCAAGAATCCAGCATTGAAATACTGGTTAGGATGCTGTGGACAACAAAATGCAGTCATAACCAAAAACTGAGGACCTATCAGAGACAGAGGCATTAGCTACCTGTCTCGCATGCTTAGGAAACGATTCATAGCGCACATCATACAATGGAGATCACTCGTGCTTTGCAACAATAGTGGAGGAAAATACTTACACAAGCAATATAGACCCAATAAAGTGTCATAACTAGTTAATGCCAATACTTGAAATGGAAAAAAACCTTGCACAAGCCATCATTAGGATCCAAATTTAACAATACATGTTTGTACACAACAAAAAACAGCCTCAGGCAATAACAACCAGTACACTGTGTTTATGCTTATAACTTGCTTATGGTGTGTCCTCTAACAATGAAACTTGGTACACTGATGTTACATGACAATTAGTTTTAAAATGGTGAATATAGGGATGGTATAAAAAGCAAGGAAACAAGAGAGGGATGACCTAGTGAATATGGTGCATTATGATGGCTACATACTTCGAACTGGCATCGCTCGATCATGTAAAGTTTCCTCCAAACAAGCCCTACATTGTCGCAAACTATGAGTTGGCTCCCTTGTATGATGCACAGCATCAAAAGCATGTTAGACAGGTAATACCCTCTCCTCGGTTATGAGTTGTGACTACATTGTATGAAAAGACTTCCACATTAATGCTGCATTCTTGCCCCTCTACAGAATTCCTTTCACCTAGTATTCCTCGCACTTTACACCACCCACGAAACAAACTCATGTCAGTTAGTAAAGGTGGCAACAATATAGGGCGTGTTTGGAGGAAACTTTACACGATCGAGCGATGTCAGTTCGAAGTATGTAGCCATCATCCATTATCCATTATCCATTGTAATACCGCATCACATACACTAGGTCATCCCTCTCTTGTCTCCTTGTTTTTTACCATCCCAGTATTCACCATTTATTTAATTTACTTGTCTCCTTTGTTTTCTTTACTGGATTCCAAAATGCCCATAAAAAGTAACATTAATGGCCTGAAGCTATCGCCTCAGACAGTTTGTTGTCACTCACATGTCATTGTGAAGTTATAGGCACTAACACCATTTTTAAATGTTTTTGCCTGAGGCTGTTTGTTGTTTGAGATGTAATTTATGTTATTCTTATCATGATATGACTGTGAGGACCAACCACAAGTATGTTAAAGGCACAAACACCATTTGCAAGTTTTTATTGCCTGAGGCTGTTTGTTGTTGTTTACAAACTTGTAGTTTCAGTTTTGATCAACTCTTCTCATGGTTCACACCAAGTTTCATTGTTAGAGGACCAAATAAAAGTTAGTTAAAGGCGCAAACACCATTTACACGTTTTTATGGCCTGAGGTTGTTTGTTGTTGTTTACAATCTGTTTTGATGAACACTTATCATGGTACATCAGTGTATCAAGTGTCATTGTTTGAGGACCAACCACAAGTAAGTTAAAGGCACCCTGAGGCTGTTTGTTGTTGTTCACAAACTTGTAATTGCTGAAACTCTTATCATGGTACATTACTGTACTAAGTTTCATTGCGAGAGGACCCACCTACAAGGCAAAAACACATTTTACAAGGTTTTATTGCCAGAGTGTATTTCTTGTTTACTAACTTGTAATGTTTACATTTTGATTTCCGAGCGTGAGGCAACTACTCCAGGTTGTATTCTCGCGATATGCGTACGTATGTACGTACGTGTCGGTCACGCTTAGGGAATTCAATTAGTCACTCTTAGGAATGTCCATTTCCGCCGTGCGCGCAGATTCGGGCTTCGCGCGCAGTCAGTAGAGCGCGCGCACGAGCGGCCTCAGTCGGACTACGCATAAGCATTTGGCTGGCAGGCGCGAGGCAAAATATGCGCGTGCGCATTCCTAGTACTAATGATTGGTTGTATATGTATACAAAGTTTTATCACTAAGTGTATATGGTAGTAGGGATGAGCGTGGTACATCTAGCATCATCACTAAGTACGGTAGTACATAGTATATTATAGGGATGGGCATGGTATATACCTAGCAATATAGATGGGGCTATGATAGGGCATAACTAAAAAACTGAAAGAGATAAAGCCATGAAATTTTGTAGGAATGTACATATCGATAACCACATGTGCAACGTCATTTACTTTTTTGTTTGTAAACAATGTTGTTTACTGTAAACAACAACAAAAGTGCCCCAGGCAATACATAATAATGGACAATAACCACGGCCCATTATCCCTTCTTTGTTTTACCATTTTGTATGTCTGTTGTCTATCACCAATACACTGTTATTTCTTAAGTCCCGTGATAGGAAATTATAAACCAATGAGTGAGATATGTACTATAGAACCCATGAAAATTAGTACCTTCACGTTGGTCGTAATATATGTGTAGGTACCCTGGCCATGGCGCAGGTTTTTGCTCCATTCTCCTTCATAAGTGTCACCATTTGCATATTTGTACACTCCATAACCACATCGTAAATCATCTGCCCATTCTCCTGATTATGAAAACAAATGACATGTACGTATGTGTTGTCCAACAATAGCCATAATCATGGGGCCGTGTACAATCGCTGGACTGGACTAGTTGATTCACAAAATTACACCCCGCAAAAGCCTTTTGTGACATTTCTGTAAGGACAATGACTCTGGACTATGTACGTACGTATGTACTTGCCTGTTGTTCCCATACTAGGCTGGAAGTAGTAATAGGGGCTGTTGCTGCCATCACCACGGCGACATTCAGCTGGCATTCACACATGCACGGGAATACGTACATCCCACTCTACTCTCGCACAGCACAGCCATGTACACGCAGTACTTGGCTTGGCTACGTACCTATAAACAGCGGAGTGGAGCAGTGATGAAGTGAAAAAAACCGTTGCCTGTGTAGCTAGCTGTTGGCAGACAGCGAGGAGTATGCAAGGGCTACGCCCATGCCCACCCTGAAGGTTTCTCTCGAGGTCTCTACAGTCTTGTGAGATCCAGAGTCGTCATAGTCCTTCCAGAAACATTACAGAAAAGGGAACGCTGGCTCCGTGTATGGCATCCGTGATTGCTGACACTCCAGCTCAGGCTGACACCGGACATAGATTTTACCAGTGCCAGTGTTCATGAACTACTGCTAGCAGCCCCGGTATGGGCCAGTGTGAGGTTCAGAGTCATCCTAGTCCTTCCATAAATGCCACAGAAGGCAACAAAAGGGTTTTGCGGGGTGTAATTTGCGAGTCCACTAGTCCAGTCCACCAGTCCAATCAAGCGATTATAGATGGCCAATCATGGATACAAAAAATGTACGGAAATTAAACAATAAGGAGGAATAATGGGGGAAAAGTAAAGTGTGGTTTAAGAAGCGATTGTTAGCACGCTGAGTCAATCACATTGTGTAGTGTATAAACTTTATATAACCATTCATATATAATTATACAAGATTAGCCTAAATTGAGCGGCCATTGATATTTTAGTTACTTTTTTCGATAGCATGGCTAAAACGCTCATGACTTATAGTGAATTTTGGCACCTTTCTCGGATTATTCACTCCTTGTTTTACAAGCTTATTAGCATATTCATTGATATTTAAGACTCTACCCTTAAATTTCATGGATGAGCATAGGATGTTTACCTCACATGCGTGTGCGCAGCAGGGGTACTGTGATTTTTCGCACCATTTTGTGCTCACATGAAGGTATTAGACCATGTGATGCCAAGAGTAAAAAGATGTGGAGCGCTGGACAGCTGTTTTCGAGCTTGTTGGCCCTCATCAGCAGAGCATACCCTACTGTCTCTCTCTGGCATCACGAGTTTATAAAGGCTACCAGGAGCACAGCACTTGTGGTTTTGAGCTAATGAGATTCATCCCCACAAGGCTTTACCACTGGTATGTGCTGACCATCCCATACATTTGTGGTTTGGAGCCTAGGCCCCTCCCCACTCCTGCTGGCCAAGGCCAGTACCGAGCCAAAACTCGAACTCGCAATCCTCGCATGCGGATTGGGCCGCGGCAATGAAGCCAGCAAGCACCCATATCCTGCCAGTGCATTCACATGAAGGTATTAGACCATGTGATGCCAAGCCATGTGTAAGCATGTGTAAACTACTATGTATTAGAGCATCGGTAAAAGCTCTATATAGGGATGGCACATGAAAAAGTAGGAAACAAAAGGTCATTATACAGCTAAGACACAATTGTGCAAGTCTTTATTTTTTCAAGGGAAAGCTAGATGACACCATCCCCATATTTTTGTCCTGTTGATTCATATGCAAATAATATCAGACAAAGATATGGAGAAGAGCCAAGGTTTAATGTAAAAAATGGAGTGACCTTAAGGGTAATGTGCGTACAAGTGTTATTGACACACAGTACACACCATCATATTTGGAGCCATCTGGATACAGGAAGATCCCTTGACCATGCTTCTTGTTTTGTACATAATTGCCCTCATATCGGTGACCAGACTTAAAAATGTAGAGACCCTGCAAAACACCATTCAAGTAACAGAATAAGAACACATGATAAATTGATTGGTGATAAGTGGCACAATAGAAACTAAGCTTAGATTGAGGAGTCTGAATACCACTTTCTGCTCATAGTTGGCAGATTGGCGAACGTATCACATCTTTAGCTACTTTCAGCTAGTCATGCAGCTGTGCATACTTTGTTTATATAATGTATTCAATCATCAACATCACTAAGTACGGTAATACTTAGTGTACAAGTAAATTTAAAATCCTGAAAAAGAGATATATAGGGATGGTATAAAAAGAAAAGGAGACAAGATAGGGATGGGATACATGAAGCATGGTTAAGGAACTGATTTGAGCACACTGAAACCCCTCACCCCATCACACAATCCCTATATTGGTTGCCTGGTGTGCCACTCGTAAACTCCATTTGGACTCTTTAACAGTGTTGGTTACTCAGCAGTTGTATTTTCAAGCTGTACGTAGGTCCTGATTATTGTAATGTAGAATGTTTATTACTTCACCTAGGCAACAATATAGGGATTGTGTGGGTTTCACTGTGCTAAAATCTGTTCATTAACCCTTCATGTATCCCATCTTGTCTCCCTTTCTTCTTATACCATCCATATATGCCTATTCGCAGGATTTTTAATTTACTTGTCTCCTATCATTTTTATAAACTACCACGTATATATCTAGGGGATGAAAGGGGGATAAAAATTTAAATTAGAAAAAAATCCCTGTTGTTTACAAACATGTGGTTGCCATGGAAATAATGTAATATGCATGCATACCAAGTTTCATGTCCATTCGTGCTACCATTAGCAAGTTTGAGGAATGAAGTAGTAATTACAAGTAAATTAAAAATCCTGTGAATTTAGCATATAGGGATGGTATAAAAAGAAAGGGAGCAGGCAACAATATAGAGATTGTGTGATGGGGCCGGGTGGTGTCAGTGTGCTCAAATCTTCATGTATCCCATCCCTACGTATCTTGTCTCCCTTTCTTTTTACACCATCCCTATATGCCTCTTCGCAGGATTTTTTATTTGCTTGCTCATATTCACAGTCCTTCTGTCATTTTAATACTATCTATGTGTGCTCCTACAATCAGCTCGCGCATGTAAAGCTAGTCCCTTCTTGTGTTTGTGTGAAGCCATGTATAGTGTTGTTTAAAAACACCCTCGGTGCGCCTGCAAACACTAGTCTAGCAAGGCCGTTCCGTGGAAAGACGATGTGGATCTATGGCCCTCCATAAAGTGGAGTTTAATGTCCCATTAACATATGAGCGATGGCATCGCGTGGTTTTCATGGCCTTGGGTATGCTCATGCGTAGGGTTGTACAAGGCCAGATGCTTACTTTTATAATGCCAAAGTTCAAGAGTGTATTTCTTGTTTACTAACTTGTAATGTTTACATTTTGATACTAATGATTGGTTGTACATGTATACAAAGTTTTATCACTAAGTATATATGGTAGTAGGGATGGGTGTGGTACACCTAGCATCATCACTAAGTACGGTAGTACATAGTGGGATGGGCATGGTATATACCTAGCAATATAGATGGGGCTATGATAGGGCATAACTCAAAAACCGAAAGAGATAAAGCCATGAAATTTTGTCACTCACCCTCGGTGCGCCTGCAAGTGATTGCAAACACTAGTCTAGCAAGGCCGTTCCGTGGAAAGACGATGTGGATCTATGGCCCTCCATAAAGTGGAGTTTAACATATGAGCGATGGCGTCGCGTGGTTTTCATGGCCTTGGGTATGCTCATGCGTAGGGTTGTACAAGGCCAGATGCTTACTTTTATAATGCCCAAGTTCGCCTTCCGTGGCGAGTCACATCAAAGGAGCTCATACCGTACAAGTGGACGCGTCATCCCGCGATAACCTCTTTTTTCCCCCCGCTCGTCACACCCACAGGCCAACCAAGGAGTGCTGCAGTCTCTGCTACACCTTCTGATTCTGTCCAAGCCAGACTGGACATCCAAGCGTTGGACCGAGCTGTGGACCGCTACTTTCAAAACGGACTAGTGTCATCAACCCAAAGAACTTACAATTCAGCAAAGAGGTGGTTTCAGTTTGGCAAGGATAAACACATACGTCCACTACCGGCACCAGAGAGACAATTATGTTGGTTCGTGTCCGCATTAGCACTTCAGTCGTTGTGTCATACTACTATAAAATCTTACCTTGCCGCTATAAGACACACACACATAGCAGAGGGCTTTGGGGATCCTTACATCCATATCATTGAAGGGGATTAAAACCGCCTTTTTCGATGCGTGCGTTAAGGCCACGACGAAGTCACACCTGAGAGGCTGCAGCTCCAGGGATGACCTGGATCCCCACCCTGCCGATCCTGGCTTTTCCTGCCACAGTCACGTTAGTTTGGGCCTCACTGCCTGAGCTCTCAGTCAAGCACATGACGTCTCCACACGAGACCTGTAATACCGCCCATAAACAATGACCTTTATCTTGCGCATTCCTAGTGCATGCACAAAATATTTTGCAAGATGTTCGAAAACTGAAGTAACTAGCTACCCACGTGGTCTGTCCAGCTGCTCATGCACACCACCATAGGCTTATTCTCAGCCACGCCATACGCGCACGGGGCCGGCGCGGGGCAATGAGTACACACATGCGTTATCCCTTGGAATATTCCTGTCCCCAACGCCATGTGATGCTTATTCTTGGACTACAGGCTATAAGGCGGCCTATTAGTGATACAAGCCAAAAGGCGATTTTCCTGAAATGACTGCATTCGAGAGATATGCCGTGAAAACAAGCGAAAAAGCCAAATTGCATAATCACACTGGGCTAAGAGCGTGTACTAGCCCGTGTCAGACTCTTCACGAGCTACTAGGATGGGGAGACCACGAGCAGAGCTGCAACCCATTACGTAATCTATGACGCATGTCCAACTCCTCTGGACCATGAGTAAACGTACGCAGACTCTTGGCCAAACCCATCAATTAGCGGTACCACGCACGCGCAGTGCGCTGAGGGTTTGCACTTTAGTGCTTTTCATTAAGGTAGGTTGTGAAGTCCCCAGAAGCACTTCTCCATTCTCATATTTTCTTTCTTTCTTCATGTAAAAGCGTGAGCTGTTCAGCTTACATGTGGTCAACCCAGAGCAATTGCTCATACATAATTTCAAACATGGTAGAACTCATTAAATTATTATCACCAATGTGCAAACCAACGGACAAGAAACATCGAACCCAAACGTATGTGTGGTACCATTCATAGATGGCCCGTGTTTGCTCATAGGTGTCCTGCTCTCTGTATACACCTCTAGTAGTTCGCAGATCTGACAAAGGCTAGCCACATTAGTAAATAGAATACGTACTCGATACACGCCATCCGTTGTGACTTGGTGTGCAAGCGCATCAGTTAGAAGTAATGATTTATTTGCTCTTTCACCAGTTTCCACATTTGGGGGAGAGACTCTGCTTAACACATTTCAAATAACAACACGTTTCTCTTTGAGAACAGTTCTTCCGTGTAATTGTCGTTTCAGGAAAATGTCTTATGGCAACAAACCGTTGGTATTGCTCATGGGCAACCTTGTAGCCTGTAGTGCCAGAAGAGTGGTACCGAAAGAAGAATAACACAGACCAAGTACTGTAATTACCATAACCTCTATGCATGTATACACTCAGTTTGGAGTTGGGGGTCTTTTGGTGGTTTAATTACACCAGTCTGCTCCTACATACTGAGTGAGAGTATGCTGTGCCATACCACAGTGGTTTGAGGTTTGCCTTTGTTGTATCACTAAGTACGGTAGTACTTAGTATACAAGTAAATTAAAAATCCTGCGAATTTAAAAAAAGAGGCATATAAGGATGGTATAAAAAGAAAGGGAGACAAGATAGGGATGGGATACATGAAGCATGGTTAATGAACAGATTTGAGTATGCTGACACCCCAACCCCATCACACAATCCCGATATTGTTGCCTGGTGTGCTACTCTTATAGGGGCTAAAGGTTACTAAAAGCAAGCATTCTTTCACTGTGTCCCTGTTGTTTTAGTAACATTTATACTGCCACATTCCCTTTAATTAAACTCCACTTGGACTCTATAAGGGTGTTGGTTACTCAGAAGTGTAATGTAAGTTCTAAGTACGTATTGTAATGGTGAGTGTTTAATACTTCACCTAGGCAACAATATAGGGATTGTGTGATGGGGTTGGGGGTGTCAGAGTACTCAAATCTGTTCATTAACCATGCTTCATGTATCCCATCCCTATCTATTCTTGTCTCCCTTTCTTTTTATACCATCCCTATATGCCTCTTTTTTTAATTCGCAGGATTTTTAATTTAATTGTCTCCACTCATTTTTATATACTACTACGTATTATCTCTGTGGTATGGGGCAAATTAATAATAGAGAAATAATTGAAGTGCAAACCCTCGGCGCACTGTGACGCGCACGCGTAAGTAAACGCATGCGCCGTACCACTAATTGATGGGCTGGGTTTAGTTTTAGCTGTTACTCGTGGTCTCTTGCCAGCTCCCGCAGAGTCTGACGCGGGCTAACTACACTACTAGATAGCATGCGAGAGGCGAGACAAGATAGGGATGGTGTTTGTGGAAGCACAGAGATGCTAGCGAGGAGTTAGGACTCCCACAGGTCATTACAACAGCCCTATATCGTCGTATCGGTGCTTTACTACTTCCTCGTGAATATATCAGTCAACCTTGCATACTTGAATTTTGTTTTCTTGCGTTACAAAATGTTTCCATGTTTCCATGTGTTATACATGTATATCCTATGGTAAGCTGATTACACTTCCACCAAAATGTGCACTCCATGGAAATGTACCATGACAAATCTATCAAAGGTAATTAGTAAGTACTTCATTACCTATAGCAATATTCTACAGACTCTCTCATCACTCCCACTCCCACCCTACGAAGATTGAAAACTTTCCCTATCATAGCCACATACACATCTATGATGCTAGGTACTCCCACCGTACGACGATATAGGGCTGTTGTAATGACCTGTGGGGGTCCTAACTCCTCGCTAGCATCTCTGTGCTTCCACAAACACCATCCCTATCTTGTCTCCCTTTCTTTTTATACGATCCCTATATGCACTCTTTTTTTAATCCGCATGATTTTTTTTTTACTTGTATACTAAGTACTACCGTACTTAGTGATAGGGATTGGCATGGTACCTAGCATCATAGATGTATGGGGCCATGATAGGGAGTTTGTTCATCTTCTCCTCCTTCTTCAGATTGAACTCGCATACATGTAACTCAAAAACGAAATAGCATTATAGTAATAATAATAATAATACTCAGGTGGCTGCCATAGCACTAGGGCCATAGACCACGCACCCAGAGCAATGGGCGGAACCGTTAACAAACGAACATACACCATATGAACATGCGGTGTCTGTCTCACCTCCCAGACACCTCAACTCACCCCTTCCACCAGCGACACCCTGCAGCTCCCCAGACGCAATCTGAGACTGGGTCTGTTGTACGCTGGGATTATCGCCGTATAACCTAACCTTTCTCAACATCCAAACTAAAACTTTTAACAAGGCCAAGCAAAGAACCAAAATAATATATCCTCCCACAGCTCACTACCCAAAATAGAGGATGCTTTCCTGAAACTATCAAGCGACTGCAAACGCTCAAACCCACCCCCAAGCTTCCCCTGCACTCCTTCATCCCCTCACTCCCCCTATGCTTACCCAGTTCCTCATTTAGCCCATGCGTGCCTGACCTGAACTTAAACATTAATCTAGACCCAGCATCACTTTTCCCATGCAAGTACTTTTTGAACTCTACCACCTTGTTAAATGTCTTATACAATAACAGCTTTACTTTGCTATTTAGCCCCTCTTCAAACTTTCTAATCTCCCTCTCATTAATACTGTCCCCTACTATAGACAGAAAGCCCTTCAAGGAGCAATCCCCATTTTGAATATCATGCAACCACTCTGCCTTGTCAAGACCTAATGACGAAAAGAGATCATCAATGACCTTACTCCAACACTTCCTCTGCCTGCCTCTCCGTGGCTTAAAATTCCATTCCTGATTAAAAAGCTTCTTCGGATACCTATTGCCTGGCAATGCCGCTAACTTATACCACCACTTCAACTTATTCTTATCCCTACGCCCTTGTAACGTATCAAGCCCCATATCCCCCCTAACGGCTTCATTACATGTCTTAGACGAACACCCAAGAATGCGCTTAGCTCCTCCCAGCATAACAGACTCTAACGCAGCTGCCTGAGCCTTATTGGCTTCCCACACCTCACCCCCATACTCTAATGTTGGCCTAACCACCGCCAGCAACAACAACCTGCGAGCACTCAAATTAATATCCCTATTACTAATTACACTATGCAACTGATTAACCTTCCTTCTACCATTGTCTAACACATTCTTGATATGCACATCCCATGCACCAGTACTAGTAAAATCAACACCCAAGTATGTGTATTTAGATACTCTAGGCAAAACATACTCCCCCCATTTCCAAGCACCATCCACTGACTCCCTAGCGAACACCATCACTGCACTCTTACTCACATTAGCCTTTAGCCTCCATTTTCGACAGTAGGCATGCACCACATCTATAAGCGTCTGTAACTGATCCTTAGACTCACTAACACCAACGAAGTCATCTGCAAACAAAAGTCCTCCAAGTCTCCCACCACTACTTAAATCAATCCCAATCTCAGCTTCCTCCACCACCCTCAACAACCCATTGATAAATACGGAAAACAAAATTGGAGATAAGCTGCATCCCTGAGCTACCCCCTGTTCCACATCAAATGCCTCTGACCGTTCCCCATCCAACAATACAGCACTCTTTGAATACTCGTACATCTTTTTTATGACCCTCCACATCTTCCCTCTTACCCCACATTCCCACAACTTAAACCACAGGCCGTTACGCCACACACTATCGTATGCCTTCTGCACATCTAGAAAGAATGCATATGTCTCCTTCCCCTCCTTTAGTCTACCCTGCACGAGTTCATTCAGCGTATAAATATTATCAACACAACCCTTTCCAACCCTAACACCAGCCTGGCCGTCATGCAATGCTTTGCCCTCGTCCAGATGCTTCACCAACCTATTGTTCAAGACCTTACAAAAGACCTTCCCAACCACACTCAGCAGAGTGATGCCCCTATAATTCCCAGGATCCTCCTTATCTCCCTTCTTAAACAAGTTAACTATGAGGCCCTCCCTCCACTGTGGTGGCACAAACTCCTCACGCCAAATTACTGTAAACAACTGTTTAAGTAACTCTACCATCCCTGACCCACCATGCTTTAGAAGCTCCCCCACAAGCCCA